TGGGGGATGTGCACATCACGACATCTCTATCCACTCACGCCACCATCTCTAGGGGATGTGCACATCACGACATCTCTATCCACTCACGCCACCATCTCTAGGGGATGTGCACATCACGACGTCTCTATCCACTCACGCCACCATCTCTAGGGGATGTGCACATCACGACGTCTCTATCCACTCACGCCACTATCTCTGGGGGATGTGCACATCACGACGTCTCTATCCACTCACGCCACCATCTCTAGGGGATGTGCACATCACGACGTCTCTATCCACTCACGCCACCATCTCTGGGGGATGTGCACATCACGACGTCTCTATCCACTCACGCCACCATCTCTGGGGGATGTGCACATCACGACGTCTCTATCCACTCACGCCACCATCTATGGGGGATGTCCACATCGCGATAACTTTACATCAACACATTATCTCCTGTTATCAAATCTAGCTCAACTCTCTCTCTCCAATCTATTTTTGTCACTGATATAAATCTGTCAACCCTGATACACGCTGCTTAAAGCTACACAATTTACAGGCCTTGCATTGATTTAGATTTTCAAGAATGATTACTTCAGATCTGTAAGGATGAAGGCTTAAGAAATTCTCTTAGGCATGCTATTTCTAATACGCTAAAGATAATGGTTTCAACGCGTACTTTCTTTTATTGCAATAGTTTTTTTATCTCAAGTTAAATGTCAAGTACTCGTTTATTAGTCACGAGCCGACCCGCGGCGTATCATACGCCGCTATTTAGTTATTTTATTTTCTACTTTTCAGTCATTCATAATTTGTGAATTCGACAGTACCAACGCTGCCACTGAAAATATTTGCTTTAAAACAGTATGCCGTAATGACGATGTACTTTAACTTTAGTTCTAAGCCTAACCCTAAAACGAATGAACGTTTAGAGCTAATCGACTAGCCATATTTGCATACATCTTTATAGGTCATTCACGATATACGACTGTTTTGGTACACTTAATATTTGTGATGTTTGTTTTTAAGGATACTAATTTCTCGTTTAATCGATTTGTAATACCTACCCATTTTCGGCGATTCTGGACTATTCTAACATGTGGCTACCGCTAATCGATACCAATCAGATTTTATTTGTTTTTGAATAAAATGGTTGTCTGTTAATTTATTTTAATTGATTAGCAATACCTACATATTTTCGGCGATTCGAAGCTACTATAGCATGTGGGTACGAATCAGTTTTTGAATAAGATGGTTGTCGGTTAACCCATCCACGTAAAACTGACCCCGAGATGAAGAATGTAGGTACAGGTATAAATAGACCACGTCACAGAGTCCTGACTGGGTCACATCCAGTTCTACCGCAGTTGACGGCTTGTTCTGTATTTTGGGCTTGGTGTTGTGTGTACATGGTACAGTTGACAAACACACTGATAGAGGTAGACATGTGGCCATTACGTTCTATTGTCACACAGTTCAGGAAAAAATCTACGTCTCTTGGTAGGGTTGTTGAAAAAAGTGGATTTGCTTCCGTAACTAGTAATTTTATGGGGAATAACCGAAGTCATTTCGATTTGTTCTGGGTACAAACAAGCTGACATTCACAAATACCAGCCAGCACCTACAGATACCAACACCCGCATATACGAACCAACACCATCAGCCATAGCCAACGCCCCCCCCCCCCCTTCAAGCCCAGTCAGCATTCATCAATCAGCGCCAACCTACGCCTACATGCAGACATCAACTCCTGCCCACACCAGCCAATACTTGCCCACACCAACCCACGCCCACACCAACCCACGTACACACCAACCCACGCCCACACTCACCCACGTCCACACCAACCACTAATTGCCCACACCAACCCACGCCCACACCAACCATTAAAAAGCCCACGCTAGCCATCGATCTATTTGATCAGCTGACCAGCAGAGCTTATAATTTCCTATTTTCCCTCACCACGATTCTCTGACTGATCTATTCGGTTATCCGATCCCACGAGCCTATATGTCATGGCTGCAGTTTAGCATAACATGGCGTTTCATTTTCCTTTCAACCAAAAAAATCGAATAGACACCCACGACATTTTTATTTACATTCCAATTTATTTACATTCCTTCCCACTTCGTTCTAACACTTTCTGCTGTGTTTATTTTCTTTATCATTTTGTTTTGTCTATCCTTACTTTTACATGATCGCCCCTCGACCCAAAGATTTCGACATGTCTATCGTATTGTCTCCCTTACCCACCAGACCGAAAACGATTTCTTCCCCTGCCTAGTTCAGCCCCAGCGCTTAGTTTGAAGGTCACCACAAACTGACCCCATCTCGCACTAGTTACCGTCCCTGGTCTTCCCCAGGTCCACCTCCCCCGTCTTTTTAACCCCCCCCCCCCCCCCATCCTTCCCTTTTGAACGGGTCCGTGTGTTCTTGATTTTGGCATTCCTCTCGTTTTGGATTGGGTCCACGACAAACAGATGACACGTGCAGTCAACTCACTTAGCCGTAGACCACGGTGTCCTGGACAGTCCAGTCTTCAAGTCTCGTCTGTTCACTTCGTGGCCTTAGGGTTCCTCCCCCCCCCCCCCCCCACACACACATTTACACTTTGTTGGCTTATATTTAGTCAGTATTGAGAAGAAAAATCAATATATTAAACCTAACAAAGTGGCCACATTTCACAAGTTATACTAAGATATTATTTGCTTCCCTGTATTGTTGGTGACCTTCTATTCATTTCAGTTTTTTTTTTTTTTTTGGATAGATTCTATATCTAGTCATTAGAAAAAATACACTTTTGTGCAGGCCTACACCACATAAACTATGTACTTAAAAGATGTGTGTATGCTAATTTTAGACATTAAAAAAAATCATAATTTGTTCTGTTTAATTTAATATAGCACTCTCTATAACAAAATGTTGAATAACACCAACATAAGGATTAGGACATCTCAAAAGGCAGCCTCTTTTAACCTGTGTAAATATTTTTTTTTTGAAGTCCCATCACTGCAAACCTAGGTGTTTAGGTTTTTCCCAGACTGTTTTTTTTAGGAGATAAAAATGTGACCCTGTCCTTTGGGAGCAAGCTTGTACTTAGTGGAGAGAATTAGCCAAGAGTTAGCTTACTTTGGTGCATTTTTTCCCCTAGTTGTCTTTGCTTACACTGGGTGGACAATTTTTCTGGCAACATAAATCTATGCTAAAGCTATTAAACAGACTTGTAGTACAATCTTCCCTCTTGAGACCCACATTCCTGTTAGGATATTTTTATTTTCTTTTATAACTCATAGACACATTGAATCAGGTTTAGATTAAAACTGTAAAGTGTGGTATGGTTATAATACTTCATGGACCCATTAGTTATGGTTTGAGAAAACTTGGAATGTAAAAAAAAAAAAAAATTCTATCTTTGTTTATTTTTATCCTAGCTGTGTTGATGTAATTTAAGGAGTGTTGCTTGTTATGGGCAGATAACTCATAAACATTTTAACTGGATGGGTTTTCCCTAGGTGGTAGTGATCTACTACCTTTGTCAAACACCCACATTCATTATTTAAAAAAAAAAATTAAACAATCATATGAATCACTAAAGGTTTGGTACTGCTTATCAGGATTTACATAGCTATATTTAGCATAGATTCCTGTCAAGCTCATGCTGATTAGTAGAGTTAGTTGTGTTGAATAGTCTGATAATGATGACATGTGACAACTATAGCTGTGCTTAGTTATTTATAAACAACTTGATTTCACCTTCTGTATATCATATGAAGATGTGTAACAGTAAGTAGTAAACCCTATACAAAATCCTCATAAAATACCAATAATATTTTATACTCTTATGATAGTAACTAGTAAATTATATCCTCATTTCACAATAAGACTAAGAGGAGTACATTATACATTTTTTATTTAACAGTAATGAATATATTTTCCATGTAGAATACTGTTCCCATGATATCATGCAACATTAAGTAGTAGTTATCCCTTGGGAACATCCACCATTTATAAATGCCCACTCTTCAAAGGTTTAATAAAGTTTGACATTTAGCTTCATCCTTAAAAAAAGTTATTAATTAAATACACTTTCTGCAGCTACATATCATTATATCATTTATTATATTTTATATTTTTGTCAACTATTTTTAGTTATTTAAAACTGATAGTCTATTTCTTTCCCTAGCTAACTTGATAATGTAATAAGAATCACCATGTTGACTTATGGGGGTTGGGCTGTTTGTCACCGTTGTGTTGCCTGAGGGGTGGGATGGGGGTTAAAATGGTAAAAAAAGTGTGGCATCATTTGTTATAAGACCCAATTATATGAGATATATTATACCAACATATCCTGCAGCATTAAGTAGCAGGTAACTCCCAATAAAGACATGACTGTGTAAACAAAGTACAAGTAGTTGGACCAGATTTGTTTCCCTTGGGTTCACACAGCTAACAGTGATCAGCAGCAGCCATTAGTTTGATGATGATTGATAAAGACATTAGCGGCTGGCATTAGTTTACTACACCTTGTCACGTCTGCTGTGGTGTTGATGACTGATCTGATTGGGTTTTAACTAGCTACTAAATGGTGTTGTGTTAGACAATATGTCTGTGTTAACTGCTCACTCTTCTAGATGTAGTTGTTGTGTTACCTCAATAGAGAGACTGGTCAAATAGTACTGCAAGAAACATGGCTAGCAGACGCAATAGTGCTGGAATTGGTTCATGGTGATAGTACTGACCACTCTATTTGAATTAGATATCTTCATTAATTAATTAAAACATTCCCCTATTCAGTCACCAAGTGTATATACCACTTGATTTAGTTAGTTTGTCAAGTTTTGTAAACCATTTTTCACAATCTAATGCATTTGTGATGTTATGAAAATTAAATGAAGTTGCTACACGTCTGAGAAATTAAAATGATGTTCATTAGCTTCTGCCTGAAAGTGGTTTCACATTTTACCTTCAAAATATTTTCCGATTCAAAAACTAATATTTGTTTTACATTTATCTTTCAGAAATGTAAATAAAGAAGAAAAAAAATGTAAATAGTGTGGCAGCTACACAAGATTCCCAAGAGTCTGGAGGCTTCCTAAACAAAAGAAAAACGCAAGTCGGCTGCAGATGTTTATCATTTGACTGTGGGATTGGATTACTGTGAATAAGCCTTCAACACTTTAATAATTCTACCTGCGATGGCACAGTCTGGTGGAGAGGGAAAACAGACAGGTGATTAGGCAAGGGATTAATGCCGCTGTCTAGAAGAGTTTATTTTTTAAGCAAGAAGTTGATGTTGTGTTGGGTGATTGTTTCTTTTTGGGATTTCTACTGAGCTTGCAACAAATTTCAGGTAATTAAAATACTGTTTTTAATAGTGTTTGGTTTGGTTTAATTCCATTAGGGATATTTATAATTAAAATATTTTAATAAAAAAAGTTTTGAAAAAAATCATTTAAGATTGAATCTAGATTGTAAAAATGGAGTGAATATTTTTTTTTAATTTGCATTTAAAAATAACTAAAATTATCAATTATACATTTTCTCCCACTGAATTTGTTTTTTAAAAATCACGTCTGTTGAATATAAAATTGTAAAAAAAATGTGATTTATGTTATCCGTGAAAGTGTGTTAATCTGCTAGTTATTAAAACATCTGGTGGCTTGTTCAATTTTAGATCGCTGGAAACGTTAACACTGAGTTGTACAAAGTATACACTTTAGTACGGCCTATCTATCAGGTTTTTTCCTTTAAAAAACTTTCTAGGGAAATCACATCAATGTTTCAAAGATTAAAAAAATCAATTACATTATTATATGAGTGGAAATTGCCATTGAATTAGGTCATTTTCTTTTCTAGTTTTTATAATGTCTTCTGATTGTATAAGGAAGTAAAAGTTCAGCTCATGTAATTTTATGTTAATTAATGCTTTTTAATAATGAGACATGGTATGGAACAAAACTTTATAATTTTTACTTTACTTAAAGCAACACTTTAGGCCTATGGTTACACACATCTATAGACCAAGGTCCAAGATTTAAACCTGCAGAATTTTTCTTGATGTAGACGCAGTGTCAAGTTTAGCCCACATTTTAAATTCCTTTTTCCACAAACTATAAAATCTGCTAAAAAAATTATCAGTTCTAGACTAGACATGACATTTCTGTACATTGGTTTATTTAGCTTTTATTCATTAAACTATGGAATGTTTTTTTTTTGTTATACCATTACAAGACTATTTGTTATTCATAGCTATAATACATATCAGGCTTGAAATAAAATGTACATGTTATTGTTATGCCTCAGAATTACATGTCACTTTATAAAATGACTTAACTTAAAAGAAAAAAAAATTAATATTAAATTTTTAAATTTGATAAAAAATTTTTTTCATCCAGCGTAAAAAAAAAGGATTAACTTTCTGGAAGATGCCATAACTTTGCCAGGAGATTAAGTTCCACTTGTTCTGCAACCTGTTTAATGTGCATTCCTTACGGATTAACTGAGTGAGGCTGTAGTAAAAGTTCACCAGACCAGCGGATGCCTACAGACTTTATGGAGGGCGCCTATCTAACACTGCCTCCCTGCTTTTGGATTACTTTAACTTTTTTGGAACGGTCAGTACGGTCAGTGTTGTGTTCATGTGCATAATTCTTAGTTTAAATTTACTCTGGTCATTATTTGAGTAGTTTTTTTTTATTAGTTCAGTGGTCGCAAGTATTTTTAGCCTTGATTGTCTATAGCTAAAATCAATAAAAATCATAATTATTTTCGCACATAACAGGTTGACATGTAATACTTAATTGTGTTGGAAAAAATCCAGTCCAACATTATAAGCAAGAAGAAAAAAGAATAATATTAATTTTTTTAGTATTTACAGTCTGAACGGAAGGGATATAACTCAGCTAAACTAAGATGGTGTTGTCACAGAGTAATTAATTTAAAATTAGCTGCACAATTTATTTAATACAAGCCCATAAAATAAAACTCCATAATATTTTTTTTTTTACATTAATGTGGTTTAAAATTGACATGGTAGAAAATCATGCACAGTAGGCAAATATATTTTGTTTTTGTCATTACTATCCACTATAAAACAGTTTTATTTTTGCATTATGGAAAGTGATACATTTGAGTTAAAAAAGCAAGTGCTAAAAATAACACCATTATTGCTGCTAGATAAAAGTTGCACTAAATTGAAACTTACAGTTCTATCATGATCAAGATAACCAACAGTGGAACATTTGCTCTTTATTGCGGAAAATTTTAAAATATATAATTATTCAAGACTAGTTTATTAATATTAATTTAAGTTAAAGTGAATCCATTTATTTTTGTGAACTGGCATTTTTATCCTGCAAATGTTGATGCCAAATGTAAAGCCAATTTAATTTAGGGTGAATTCAAATAGCCAAAATTAGATGGTTTTCTATTTCTATTTTACATAAATATTAATGTTTACAAATATTCTCTCTGTTGATAGTTTGATTAAATGCTGGGTTAATTAATGACTCAAACTCTGCAGAGCACATGGAACTGACATGTTTACTGCTTAGTCAACTAGAAAGGAATGTCTAACTTCTGTTATCATTACTCCCCTTTAACTAGCAATGTTGTTTATACAATTATTCTATATTGGGTGCATTCTTTGGAGAATGCTTTATGTGGTTTTTAGGACTGAATGTAAGAAAGTTAACGAGGAGAAAATTAAACTAAACTATAGTTTTTAAAAAACAAATTCTTTTAACACCAAGTCTATATCTTGAGCAAAGTAACTTAATAAATATAAGGCAGCTATGCTGTTTAGATTATTTGTGGAAGGATTAATTATGATTATGAGTAACGGTAAGTTAGAATTGTTTACTTCTACAGTATTGCAGCATGATTTTAATTTCTCTCTCTCATTTTCATTTTTTCTCTCATTAAACAATATAATTGTTTGCCTTAAAAAATAGCATAGTGTGCCCGCAGATCTGGTGACCACCGTCCAGTTCGTCCACAAAGTTGGAATTCTTGTTTGAATCCTCAAAAAAAAAAAAAAATTAAGAGTGAAGAAGAAGAAGTTTGCCATAGAACTTGTATTTTTATATTTCCTTTTTCTTTTTTACCTAGTTAAAATTCTTCAAATGTATCAAACATGTATTTGTATGAAACCTGTATTCAAAACTGTCTAGTATTCTATTGAAACTGAACTGTGCAATGTGTATCCTGCAGGTAAATGGCCCAGTCTGAGACATTTGATCCAAGGGTAGAAGTACTGACTGCCAGCAGACATCGCAGTGGCAGCACCAAAATGGAGAACAACCTGGCCCCACTGCCACCCCTAGTGACAGACAACAAGAGCAGCTCACAGTTTCTCAACCTGAGAACACACTTCGAGGAAAAGGGCACCGGACAGAATTCTCGTCTGTCTTCAAGTCTATTTGGGCCTAATGTCAGCAAGATTAAGGAGAGGTTCCAGCAGAACATTGCTCACAAGGGTGAGGATGGTAACGGGGAGGCGTACCATTCCGCTGCTCATTCTCACATACTGTCCCACTCGCTGCCGGCCAGGGCGACAGAAAGCGGAGACCATTCTCCTGAGATTAAGAAACAGAAAGTAACCGAGCCCCACGCTCATTCGATGGCGCCCGCGCTGAATCCAAATAGACGGAGCTTCGTCTCTGATGCGCCTCCAGCTGCGACTTCACATTTCCATCACCCTGTGTTTACCCCGCCCCTCTCCCCCACCCACTCCATGTCACATGCTCACAAAAACTCTAGCACTACATCCTCGTCACAATCAAACTCTTTGCAAGATCCTAAACGAAAGAAATCAGACTCCCTCTGTAGTTCCCGCGACACGGAAAATCAAATATCTCTCTCGGAACCGACGTTGCTGGAAGCGACAAATCATGTGCAGCGTTTCAACTACACCCGCGCTTTATTCGCACGTCTGGAAGAAGAAAACCGCAAAACGCAGGAGAAGGAGAAAGTGATGCGGCGGAAGCTCTCCCCTTCTCGCTTCATGTCGGGGACATCCTCCCCCTTGCTGTCCCCCACGTCAGTGTCACCTAGCCAGGAGAGCCGCAAGTTTCCTTCCAGCTACAAAGACCAGCAGCAGGAATCCCGGAGGTCTAAATCACTACCTGACGTGACGACTGCTTCGTCTAACGAGCCGATGGCGTCCAAATCCTCCGAGTCTTTCAAGCGGTACCGAGACCTGGATAAGACAGAGGAGCACAAGACAGAGACCAAGCGGAGTCAGTTTGCCTCGACTCTGTCGCAGTCTCTTGAGCAGCAAAAGCATGTGGGGGTGGAGCCTTCTCAGGAAGACCCACTCCTGCGTCCCAAACCGTCGCCCACCAGAGGCTCCCTTAAACGGGACGACAGCGCGGACAGGTCTGGGAAGTACTATAAAAATATAGACCCATTCAAAGCCCTAACAGAAGACTTGGATAGAATCACACCTGATTCAGAAGAAAAGGCTAGTGAAAAATGTACAGCTGAGAAGCTTTCTGGTGATAATGTAAATGATCTTTCAGCAGAGTTACCCTCCTCTCTTCCTGCTCTTCCTCACAGTTCCAGACTAGAGCATTCCAGCAGGCCGACCCAGCATCTACGGTCTCAAGCAACAGTCCCAGGGCTTTCAACTTCACATTCCAAGACAACCAGTGATAATCAATCAGCATCGTCAACAGCCACGTCCCCGACGGCATCCACCGCGGGCGTCGTCAGGAGACAGAGGAGAAAACTTTCCGAGCAAACCCAGGGGGAGGAAGCCACAAAGAGGCTGAGTAAGGAGGAAATAGAAGCAGCTATTGAGAGAGCAGATAGCTACTTGGCTAACTTAAGTCCGCCTGCGGATAAACCGGAAACTGCCGATCGGGAATCCAGGCGTAGTCTGACCCACGCAGAGAGCGCCGCAGCTAGACGGAAATTCCTGTACGGAGATAATGAAACGCCATCTGATAAAGATGAACTTGCTGAAAAAAATGTTGACGCACCCTTAGCTCAAACGGTACTAGAACCAGTGATATCAGAATCAAAATCTATTGAACTGTCATCTGTGTTATCATCCTCACCTTCATCGGTCAAAGCACCTTTATCCCCAAACACCAACAGCGTTCACGTGGACCACGGCTCATCACCCTCTGCTGTTAATGACATCGATATGGAAATAACCCCCGACCTACCTCCGCCGTCGTATCACGAAACAGCCGACCCCCCGCCGTACCACGAGGCCACGTCCACGTCGTCCATGCTCATCTCCCAGAAAGTGATCATGTTCCAGCAACAGCAGCAGTCCTCGGGCACCGACTCCCTGGGGCGGCCCGTACCTGTGCCCAGGCGGGCCGCCCCACCCCCACCACAGAAACCGGCCAACGGCACCATGATTGTGAGTGACACCGCCGTGCCCCCTCCAGCCCCTGAGCCTGGTTCAGTGGAGTATATACGGGAATTGGATTCTATTGTAGGCAGGAGAACTGGAATAATTCTTGACAGTGATATTGCGGATGACTTGATATTACCAGAAGAACATATAGCAAGGCATCAAGAAGAAGAAGAGTGAGTAGAATTAAATTATTTTGTTAATTTATTCAAAAATTTAAAAAAATGATAACACAAACCAACTGGAGTAATTTGAATACCAAAAAATAAAAGCTACAGTAACCTACCAAGGGTCAGGTCTAACAGCCTGAAACTTTACTCACTGCAGGGTAGTTTTTAAGGGAGCCTCCATCTTACTATGGTTTCTCACATAACTCTTAATCAAGTTTGCTTAAAGTATTTTTCACTTAAAAAATAGGATTAGAATGCATAAGAATTTTAAGCAAAGGTTGTAAGGTTAAAAAAAAATAGAAATAAATGTTAAAATTTTAGAGGGAAACAACTGATATTTTATTTTTATAAATTTGCTTTTCATAATAGTCTCCCCTTGAAACTAAAAATTAGTTTTGAGAATTAAAATAAATACAGAAAGAATAAGGTTAAATTTTATATGAAGAGTTTTTGTAAAATATAATGTACCTCCATTTTTTAAAAAAACATATAGACCTACATCCGAACAGGGGTAACAATGTTCTTTAATGTAAAAGGTCTCTGTTTTCATCCTTATAACTTGCCACTGTCTTTAGTAACTTTCACTCTACTAATCAATGTCTTAAAAGTTTCATAGTTGTTTTTAAAAATGTAACACTATAAAATTCTTTAGTTGGTGGAATTTGAGATAAAGGTACTAATCAGCTTCTACTGTGTGCTTATGTACTGTGTGTGAAGTTATGTGAATTAAAGTCTGAGATTCTGTGTGTGGGGTGAGGTGGAGGAAGTAGATCACACTGATGTGTGTAAAATTAAATGTGGATTTAGATATTGTCATTAGAAATTGTATGCTGTGTATTGTGTGTAGATGGAGGTCTGGACTAGATATTATAGCATCATTGCTATATTGTGTACACACCTGGATTAGAGATTATATTGCTAACGAGGTTATAGTGGGCCGAATGTGTAAATCAATATTATAAAGTGACAACTGTGTAAATACCTAGGTTAGAGATCGAGGTTATAGGGTGAATACCGTGTACATACCTGAATTAGAGATCGAGGTTATAGGGTGAATACCGTGTACATACCTGAATTAGAGATTGAGGTTATAGGGTGAATACCGTGTACATACCTGAATTAGAGATCGAGGTTATAGGGTGAATACCGTGTACATACCTGAATTAGAGATTGAGGTTATAGGGTGAATACCGTGTACATACCTGGATTAAATTATAATGCTAACAAGGTTATAGTGGACCGTATAGTGGGCCGAATGTGTATATAAATGGATTAGAGATCGAGGTTATAGGGTGAATACCGTGTACATACCTGGATTGGAGATTGAGGTTATAGGGTGAATACCGTGTACATACCTGGATTGGAGATAGAGGTTATAGGGTGAATACCGTGTACATACCTGGATTGGAGATAGAGGTTATAGGGTGAATACCGTGTACATACCTGGATTGGAGATAGAGGTTATAGGGTGAATACCGTGTACATACCTGGATCAGAGATCGAGGTTATATTGAGCCTACTGTGTACATACCTGGAATAGAGATTGAGGTTATATTGAGCCTACTGTGTACATACCTGGAATAGAGATTGAGGTTATATTGAGCCTACTGTGTACATACCTGGAATAGAGGTAGGCTTTAGAGGTTTACCTAGCGTTAGTTTTTCAGGCGTCTGTTGAAACGTTTTACCCTACAGCAGAGGTAAATAATTAGCTGCAACAGCCAAATGCTCTTTTTCTTTTTAAATATTTTTTATATTATTTTAACCCTCCCTAAACCCATCTAGAAAAAAAGATTTTTCTCTCAGGGTAAAAAAAAACAAACCCTAGGTTATATTCACTTTTAAAGATGAGTTTAACAGTCAGCGATTGTGTACCGAACCATCCAGGTTGGCCCCGACTGTTGTAAGCAGTAGGGAAGTCAGTAATCGGGTACTGTAGGTTGATGGCTATTTAATTTCCCCTCGCCAGGGACCAATAGTTTATATTTGACTTAATTTATCTGGCGTCTGGTCCTGCTGTATGGACTGCTAGTACTATAGTCGCGATAGTTACTCCCTCATCTATTAGAGTTTAGAATTATTTTTTTACTCTGATGATGGTATGTTAACTTTACGGTCTACCCGGTGTCTGTTCCTGTGTATGGACTGCTAGTACTATAGTCGCGATAGTTACTCCCACATCTATTAGAGTTTAGACATTTTTTTTAAAACTCTGATGATGGTACGTTAACGTTACGGTCTAGTCGTTAATCACGTGATCAAATTAATGTATTTTAAACATCACTGTGCCATTATTTATAGCTCATTCTCCTGGAAACCCCTCTCCCCACCACCCTCCCCCCCTTTCCCCACCACCCTCCCCCCCCCCCCCCCCCCCCAACGAGAACACGTGGACACTGGCCTGTAACTTGTCCTGAAGCTATTGATTGGCGCGTGTCAAACTAGCTGTAATTGAACTGTCAACAGTCACAGATGTTTCAATCAACCCCTCCCCCCCCACTCCACCTTCCCCTCTTCTCCTGATACCTTGGGGTTGTTTTTTTTTTTCTTCTATACTCATCGTCCCCTCTTCTTTTCTTCATTTCTACGTGTTGTGTTGGTGCTTGGTCAAACCTGTGATGATGCATCTGAAGGTTTTGAGTTCAAATCCCGCTTATAAAGCCTGATAAAGTTTAGCTTCAATCATACCTTTTTATCCCTAAACCAAAACACGTATCTTTTTCTTACGGTATTAAAACACACACGACAAAGCTGTATATGGGCAGAAGAACATTGTAAAGAAGCAGATATTTTTTAGATGCGGGTCCACACCTTAAGTTTTGTTTTATAATAGGTGCAACAACGCGATCTTCCAGTAGCACACTGTATGAACTATCCTTAGCATTGCAATTTAAAAAAATAAATAAATTAATAGTGCCTTTTTTTCTGGAGTATATAACGGCGTACGAGACTACCCTAGAATTTTTACCAGCTAAAATATAGTTCTGGATATGCACGCCTTATATAGCATGCAGGATGACCCTCGACTTTTTGAAGTGAGACGCCTGTGTTTATAAAGTCATCTTAGACGCCGGAAAACAGAATACGTGGAATCTGTGCACCTTCATAAACTTAAGAACTGAATTATAAGGTGAACGTTCACACCATTGAGATACAGACAATACAACCCTAGTATTGTTTTGAGACTGGTCCTATACCTCTGTACTAGTCTGTATGTAGAGGGAGATGTAGTGTGTAAAACAGACGTTACACCTTTGTACGTAGAGGGAGATGTAGTGTGTACAACTTGGTACACCTTTGTACGTAGAGGGAGATGTAGTGTGTAAAACACGGTACACCTCTGTACGTAGAGGGAGATGTAGTGTGTAAAACACGGTACACCTCTGTACGTAGAGGGAGATGTAGTGTGTACAACTTGGTACACCTTTGTACGTAGAGGGAGATGTAGTGTGTACAACTTGGTACACCTTTGTACGTAGAGGGAGATGTAGTGTGTAAAACACGGTACACCTCTGTACGTAGAGGGAGATGTAGTGTGTAAAACACGGTACACCTCTGTACGTAGAGGGAGATGTAGTGTGTAAAACACGGTACACCTCTGTACGTAGAGGGAGATGTAGTGTGTAAAACACGGTACACCTCTGTACGTAGAGGGAGATGTAGTGTGTAAAACACGGTACACCTCTGTACGTAGAGGGAGATGTAGTGTGTAAAACACGGTACACCTCTGTACGTAGAGGGAAATGTAGTGTGTAAAACACGGTACACCTCTGTACGTAGAGGGAGATGTAGTGTAAAACAGACGGTACACTCTGTACATAGAGGGAGATGTAGTGTGTACAACAGACGGTACACTCTGTACATAGAGGGAGATGTAGTGTGTACAACAGACGGTACACCTCTGTACATAGAGTGAGATGTAGTGTGTACAACAGACGGTACACTCTGTACATAGAGGGAGATGTAGTGTGTACAACAGACGGTACACTCTGTACATAGAGGGAGATGTAGTGTGTACAACAGACGGCCCAGTTCTGTGTTGTCCCTACTCACACTCTATCCCAGCCGCTTGTGGATCCTCGCGCCCCTGTTTAGCAGTATAAAAAAATAGAGGTCGACTCACCCTGGCCACGCTATGACTCATCCCCGCAACACTTGGGGAAGTCTTTCATCGGCGGCCCTAGTTTTAGGGATCCTCTATAGTAATGGGGGATATCGCGTTCATGTATGGGGGGTCAGGTTTCATAGGCGGCGCTAGTTTTCATGCTTTTGGGATCCCCTACAGCAAGGATTGGGGAATTTTGCAGCTTTCATAGGCGTCCCTAGTTTTTCATCTGGTAGGCTCTATATCTAGCGTAGCAAGTGATTGGGGGGGGGAGATATTGTATTTATATGGATTGGTCATTCAAACCCTGGCTTTCTCGTTTAAATGGGTCTAGTATAAAAGGAAATGTTAGAGGAGTATTGTGTTTTGTTTACATAGTGGCCAGCTTCTCACACAGATCCCCTAGTGACAATATGTTTCTGTTGGCGCTGTGTTATAAGCAGTTTAATAAAGAGGCCTATGTATCTAGAGTAGTGGTTCTTAATCTGCTTGGAGGTTCTGAACTCCGCCAGTTTTATTAGCGCATTCACCGAACCCTTAATAATTATATCGTGAATCCTACGAGTCGGGTGTGTGAGATTGACTCACCGAACCCCAGGGGTTCGATCGAACCCAGGTTAAGAACCACTGATCTAGAGTTAGCTTGGATATGATGGGTGAAAAGGTTGCGGCAGTATTTACCGGCTATCAAGCCCGACCCCACACACTGGCCGGTACTAAACAAGCGATAGCACCGTCGTTACTGCAAGCTGTTCCATCAGTGGGATTAACTCGGCTTAGTGCTACCGTAGAGCCGGGGGATTTTTTTTTCTTTGTCTGCCGTACATGCCCGTGTTAATGAATTGATTTCTGGTGGCTCGTTAGTAGATATTGGATTTGATGTGGGGGGGGGGGGGGGGGG